TCAAATGAGATAGGTGTATATTGCTGTTCCACTTGGCTCTTGGGTAGCCTCTTACTAGAAGATGAGGGCTTCATTCACAATCATTAAATAAAGACTTGGAGCATTTTGAAGTTCCCTGAAGAGCCAGGATCATGGTAAAATACTTTTAAAATGAAGTTTCACATGACGAATTCAGGGAACTGAGCAAAGAGAAGACTGAGGAAGGGAGTGGGCATGAAGGACACAGAAGGAGGTCCCAGCTGTTGGTCATGTCCACCAAGAGAGGAACAAGAAGGATGGGAATGACGCTGTGCATGCAGAGATGGCAGAGGGGGAAGGTGCTCAGGCTGACTGGTGAGTACAGTTAACCCTTGAACAAGACGGGCTTGAACTGTACATATTCAGTGGTATATGGATTTTCTCCTGCCTCTGCCACCCCCGACACAGTAAGAACAACCCTTCCTCTCCCCTCTCTTCCTCTTTCTCCTCCTCCTCAGCCTCCTCAACATGAAGATGATGAGGATGAAGACTTTCGGGATGATCCTCTTCCACTTCATGAAGGGTAAATGTATTTTCCTTATGATTTTCTTAACATTTTCTTTTCTCTAGTTTATTGTAAGAATACAGTATGTAATGCCTATAACATATGAGATATGTGGTAATCTGCTTGTGCCATCAGAAAGGCTTCCCATTTATGGCAGACTATTAGTCGTTAAGTTTTGGGGGAGTTGTAAGTTATATGCATTTTTACTACATAGGAGGTTGGCACACCTGAGCTCCGAGTTGTTCAGGGGGCAACTGTATTTCAATGAGAAGTGATGAAAGGAATCTGTGAAGTTACCTCTGGACGTCACCCCCTCTGGGAGGGGCTTCTCACACTTCTCGTTCATGTGGTTTGATTTCGCAGTGTCACAGCCCTGTGCTCATCCTTTATTACACCACCACCACTGTTAGTCTTACAATCACCAACACGGTTTGGTGTTTTCTTGTAAGAGCCGGAGGTGTTTGGGAAGTGCCTCAGACAAGCTGTTCTGTAGCCATGGAGTACCATCTCCTACCTACTTCCTGTCACGTTCCCTGTGCAAACCCCATCTGTTCTCTAAACCTCGCTCATGCAGTCTCCCCCTCCTCCTAGTTCCCATGTTGTCATTTTCTCTTCCCTACAGCCTTAACCATTTGGCTCTTGAATTGTAATTCTCCACCACTACGTCTTCTCTGTCCTGCGAAAACCGCACAGGATAGGTTGGAGCGTTACATCTCCTACGTCCTGCTCGAAGTACAAATAGAGTCCTGGGTCCGCCCTTGCAAATAAGGGGCAGTGTCAACTGTATGAACCATCGCAAATAGCAAATTTGGGATGCTTAAAGGCAGAGAATATCATTGCAGTGACAGGCTGTGAATTTGAATTACGGTTGTGTTTATTTGGTTCAGCGGATAGAGAACTCATCTCTAAAAACCTTTCACTTACCTTAACTAGCAAAACTTACAACAATTTACCTTTCAAAACATAGTGACATTTAACTCCATATAAGGTAAAAGGAGGTTCTTTAGTATCATGGAGTAGAGGAGGGGCTTTAAGGATGCCAACATGCCACTTCTTTCCTGTCACCACACCTGTGGGCCCTCCGTGGCTCGCCAACATTTGCACATGATTGGATTATGACAAAAACAGAGAATTATGTAGCCTGCCTCTTATTTTTGTCCCCTTTTCAACTCAGGTCCAATGAACTCAGAGAAAAAGGTCTACGTTAAGAAAAAAATCCAAGGAAACAGAACACTGGCTTTTAAAGCATTTAATAAGTCAAAATCAAATAAAAGTGATTTTAAAAAGAATAAATTTACATACGGTACATAAGCAAGACAGCTGAAGGTTTCTAAAATAGAAATCTGGCGCATATGGCCCGAAAACACCACGTGCTTTGATTACACTCAGGAAGCATGAGTTGCCTATTTGAGTGAGAAAATCCCATGTTACAGTGAGATCACTGGGCATGTTTTAGAGTAATTCCAGCCACTGCCATGTAAGTGTTTTTAATTCAGGGGTGCCTTCTACGTTTTCATCTTCTGAATATATTGTGACGGTGCAGGTTTGAGCAAAACTAGCATGAAATGAGAGCTGTTTTAGATGAAGACTGCAAGATGGATGGCTTGGCCCACAGTGGCAGTGGGTTGGGGGTGGAATGTGGACAATTAGGATAAAGGCATGTCATTCTATCTGACTCCTGGAGGGGCAGATAATCCTGGGGGCTCTGGTGTCACAGTTCCTAAAAGCAAGTTTGGCCAGACCGTAGGCTTACATTGTGATGAGCTTGCCTTTTAAATTAATCTTCAAGACGCCAGATCAAGAGAGGGACCGTGGACCTAGACTGAAGCCAGACCAGTAGGGGGCGCTCCTTCCCCAGCGAGAAACTCCAAATGTCTTGAAAGGAGCTGAGCCATACCCTTTGAAGGGGCATGCAATGGTGTGAGAGTGAGAGAGGATTTAACAGAGCAAAGTGCTGTGTGAGTAATGAATGGAAGAGGGCTAGCAAGGCAAGAGTGTGAATCAGGTAATGCCTTTTTTTTCCCCGATCAATTATTTTCTGATTCTACACCACAGAGCAGGAGTGCTCAAAAACTGAGGTTGGCATCACCAATATATACTTTTCATTCTCCAGTTGCAGTAATCAGATACTTAAAAAGTGACCAACCTATGACAAATCATTGACTCATTCTTTAATGTGCTGTGGCTGATATAGTCAGCCTCAACCCAAATTAGGTAAGGACAGCCTTAAATATATCAGTATAGCTGATCGGCCTTCCTATTGTTGGGACTTAAAAATAGAGACAGCAGTAAAAATTATGTATATGATATGTATATCATATATATGAGATGCCAGCACCCACTGCTGTGACAATGATCACAATCCCTCTTTTTAAAAGATACACGTGGGAAAAGCTGATCCTTTTGTCAGTTGACTTCAGACAAGTCAACCACAATTATTTTGTGTAGATATCCGGTGTTGTGAACTCTGGCTGGGCAGCCGTGCGGATGGAAATACAGAAAAGTGCCTCATCCAGCTGACAGCCACTGCTCTGCAGGGGCAGATGCAGGCTGGGAGTACCTGCAAGCTAAGGCCCTTCCCCTGAGTTGTGCTGCAAATACTGGGCAGAATTTGATGTAAAAGAAGTCAAATGGCAGGTCATCTTGATCTTTGCCTTCTAACTATAATAAATGTGAGAAGAATTTTAAGTAAAAACAGGATGTTTTGCTAGAAATTATTAAGAAATTGGAACGCTAAGTTACATACTAAATATCGTCACAACCATAAAGCTGTAGAACATATTTGAAATAAAGAAAAATGTGATTTTTCAGTTTTAACACGTTAAGAGCCTCTGTAACTTTTAAGGATGCTAATTTTTTCCGAGTATGCACATGGTGATGATGTGTTGGGTTGGTAAAGCACTGGCTTCAGTCCTACAGGCACTACACCTCAATGGATACTTTGTTAACGATAGTTACACTAACTTTAAAAACAGTTCTTGATACCCCTTCCTTATTCTTAGGAACTGAAGAGGAGGGAACTCTAAGGAGGGAACTCTAGTGTTTGCATAATCATCGCCTTCCAATGTTAAGAGGACTCACCCTAGTAGACTTAATGGGCTTTGTATTTGGTTGGCTTTTTTTCCCTAGAGACACTAAAGTTGTTCTTGCATTCATTACCCTTAAAATTGCCAAGAGGTAAGAGGTGGGAAGACAAAAAGGGAGCCTGATTCTATTCAGTAGATGAGAAAATAGATTTACAGAAGATAACAGTGAAATTGGAGGAGTAATGTCAGGGAGGCCTTGTCAGGACCAGGCAATGTCAAGGAAGCCTATCCCTTCTTTGTCAGGCTCCAGAAAGGATTGCGTTCATCTGTTCTTCTACGGATCCACTTTCCTAGGCAGATGCCAGTGCCTTCCAGGTTTGTACGAAAGCAAAACACTGCTCACTGCTGACAATGGGCAGAGGGCCTGTCCCAAACCACTAGGAAGCAGGAAAGGGTGAGAATCTCAGTGAATCCCAGATGTATCCACCTGTGCTGAAGGCTAACCCCCAACCTGTCTGGTGAGGTGCGAGCAGCCAGTTTTGTTTCGTGGGTCAGAAGAGTGTGTTAATGGTACCTGGAATCCTGCAAAATCCATGGAAACAAGGAAGAGCAGATCCCTATTTCAGCATGAACACCAGGCCTCATAAGGAAAGCAGGCTTTTCCCCATGACCTCACAGCTCTGCCTCCGCCTTTCATCTCTCACAGTGAGCTTTCTTTCACAGTGGTCTTACCACCCAACCAGTAAGTCTAATTTGATCATAACAAGGAGGAGGCTGGGCACAGTGGCTCATGCCTATAATCCCAGCACTTTGGGAGGCTGAGGTGGGTGGATCGCTTAAGCCCAGGAGTTTGAGACATGCCTGGGCAACATGGCGAAACTGTGTCTCTACAAAAATTAGCTGGGCATGGTGGTCCATGCTTATAGTCCCAGCTACTCAGGAGGCTGAGGCAGGAGGATCGCTTGAGCCCGGGAGGCAGAGTTTGCAGTGAGCTGAGATTGTGCCACTATACTACAGCCTGGAAAACAGCAAGATCCTGTCTTAAACAAAACAAAACAAAACAAAACAAAAAAACACCAAATAAATGATAAGGAAGTCACTCTGTCCAAGAAATGCACTTTTATATGGTACCACCCCTTCTCCTGGACCAAGGTTCCTATTTTGGAAGTAAGACACCGTGCTAGGCAAGGTTGTAATGGAAAAGAAAGGCTGTATCTCCAGCCTCCCAGATCACCCCATCTCTGTTGGCTCTCCCGAACCCAGTGGGACTCCTAGCTATTCCTAAGCCAGGCTACAATTCCTGCCAGCCCATGACTAGGTCCAAAGTCCATGCAACAGAAAGAGGAGCAGGGGCCGGGGTGGGGGTGTGCCTTTAAAGATCTAGATTATGGATTTTAGCCTGGGTTCAGCTGTAGCATAACCATTACAGACTAATGACCGCTATGAGATAGTTTTTCCTTTCACACAGCAGCATCATTTATCTGGTAGTAGCAAGACAGCCGTATGACTTTTTTGTTGTTGTTGTTAAAGAAAAATAAGTTGTCAAGATTTGCCTACCAATAACTTTCCTACGTCTTGGCTCTCATGTCCAGTGGGCTAGTTTCCAACTGTTTGAGACTCAGGGTAGTCCCAGAAACCTGTGCAGCATTGGCACAAAGGTTGTAGCGCAGATACCAACAGATGTGTAGGTAACAAACTTGTAAGGCACTTCAATCTCCAGTCTCCGCCTGGCCTCCTTGTTCCTGGTGACCACCTTGAACCATGAGTATAGCACTTGCAGCGAGAGGTTTTGTACAAGCTGACGAACCAAGAGGATCAACACAATTCCCACTGCAAATTTGGTCAGACCCAAAACGAACATATCAGTGGTGAGCGGTGGGATGTTCTGAATGACAGGGAGAGGTTCAGCCGGCTGGGATACAAGCTGGAAGGAATGGTTGATCCAGAATCCTATGGTCACTCCAGCCCCAGCAGCCAGAATGGTGGTGGTGTCCGCCCGGGTTGGGCTGTAGTAATCAGAAACAGGGTAATTGTAACACAGGAAGAACGGCACAACTATGACACACACGGGGAAGAGGGGGCTGGCTGAGTCCAGGCGGTCAATGAAGGTCCAGGCAGGGTAGGTGAGGACGATGAGGAGTGCGGTGATCAGGACGCCACCCAGCACATCCTTTGGGAAGGAGAGAAAAGAACAGTGTGAACCAATGAGTGTTTCCTTGTATACAGGTATAATTTGAGTCAAATATGGTTAGTTTGATATTTAAAACACAATTTTTGCATTGTTTTATTTTACAGTACATGTTCAAAGAAAGTGTAAAGTTGTAAAAATTTGAAGTGAAAATGGGAAAAAATGCTCCCAGCAACCATACTACTCATGTTACATATCTTCTTTCACCTTTTTTACCTTTTGGAATAAATTCTGTATTTGTTTTCTTAATGAATAACTGTAATCTCATTGTCCTTCAAACTTATATAAATCTAGTATTTTGACACTTATATCACAAATACTGTCACCATCTTCACAGAGGTGTCACCATCCCTTCTTGGCAGGTGGGGGTTGGGCTGCAGGCTGGCTGAAGGGGGAAGCTCGCAGCTGGGGGAGCCAAATGTACAAAGCAAGCACATCATTGTTATGTAGAGGACATGTTCCTTTGGTGTGGTTTGAGGAGACATTTGGATGTGGTAGCACCAAAATTCTTCTACATCAGCCTTGGCACTACTACCCCGCCTTCAGAGACAGGATTTCAAACAGTGTGCATACAATTTCGTTGAGCAGTTGTACCATGCTTTATTTAATTAATCCCATTCTTTAGAACAGTAGCTTGCTTTCTTCCATTGCCTCCTCCCTTTCCTGCTTAAAATATCTTTAACTCCTTGATGTCCCACATGTCCCTCTTTCCTTAGTCTTCTCTTTGCACCATATAATTAATCAATTTTTAGTTTCAATACCTAGAGTTAAGCACTTTCCCTAAGTTTGCATATATTCTTTTTTTCCTATATGTATAATAGAATTCTAAGGCTTGGTCTTGCTTTTTCTAATAACTTCATTATTTATTTCTCTTGTTTAGTGTCTAATACAATGACATCTGATTTGGATAAACAATGGGTGAGAATTAGATCTTAGAAATAATCACTAAGGCAACAGCAAGTTTCACAGATTAGGGGGTATCCATCCATCTATCCTTCATAGAGTGGCCATGTATGAGTGCCTACTGTTTGCCAAGCACAGTGCTAGAGGATCCAGGTGAACCAAACACACACCATCCCCACCTGTCCTGGACCTCACGGTCTGGTAAAGAGACAGGGAGTTACCATTATTTCAGAGGGAAAGAGGTTGACTAGGGATCTTGATGGTCCCTGGGGGCTGGAAAGGAGAGAGTGAACACAGGCAGGAGCCACTTCACACAGGGCCCTAAAGTCCAACCCATGCCATGAGTACTACATCCTGGGAGCAGCCTGAGGCCCTGAAGTATCTCTCACTGGGTAGCAACACGACTGGGTTTTCACTTTAAAAAGATTGACCGCAGTGGGGAGGGTGGACGGGGAAGGGAGGAGTCAGGGTGGAGGTGGGAGAACTAAGGGTGGATGGGGAAGGAGTGAGGGTGAAGGGAGAGGAGTGAGGGGGGAGGAGTGAGGGTGGATGGGGAAGGAGTGAGGGCGGGAGGAGTGAGGGTGGATGGGGGAGGAGTGAGTGGATGGGGAGGAGTGAGGGTGGATAGGGGAGGAGTAAGGGTGGATGGGGGAGGAGTGAGGGTGGATGGGGAGGAGTGAGGATGGATGGGGGAGGAGTGAGGGTGGATGGGGAGGAGTGAGGGTGGATGGGGAGGAGTGAGGGTGGATGGGGAGGAGTGAGGGTGAAGGGAGAGGAGTGAGGGG